CACAATTTGAATTCTGTTACGCTTTCGAGAGCTTCTAGTGAATCTGATATTATTCGACAGACTCCCAGAGTGGTTCTACAAAATGATGGATGGATTTCTTTAAAACGCTTGTTCCCATCCCTTGAAAGCTACTTTAATATCCTACTTGAAATAAACCCAACTGTGCAGTTTCTGATCTCTCGTTACACACGATATTTTACCAAACACTATAAAGTAATGGCCTTGCTTTCTTCAAACACTACAAATGACTTGACTTCAATGACTTTGGATAAACAACTCGTTCGACACATTACAAGTGATTTGCCACGTTTACTTTCTGACTTGAATGAAAGGAGGTTGCCTGCAGAGACTCAAGATTTTTGGTATGAACGGACTGCACTCAGGACATCAATGATGCCGTGGATAGACAGTGAGGTACGCCGCTTTTGTGCAGCAAACATTACCGAAGCTGTGATGGAGAACTTAAAATACTTGTCAAAATGGTAAAGAGAAAATTGCTGTATTCAATGTATCTTATGGTAATATATTTGTATTACAAACTTTGATTTTATTTATTTGTTTACCCTTTCCTTCAGCTAAGCTAGCAACAACACAGTAGAGGATTGACTTTACTTTTCTTAGCATCCATAACAATAATACTTTTTAAAGTAATTTTTCAGAGGGTGTTTGGAAAACTTTTAAATAATGGGTTTAGCAACAAACAAAGTAGTCAAGTTTAACATAAGTTTATTTGAAAGATAAATGCTATATAGATAACACCAACATAACAGGTAACCATAAACATTTTAGATGTATTTATTATATACAACTCTAGCGTTACATAAATGTGTTAAGATTAGTAAACATGTAATAGTAAAACAAATACAGATCGAAAAAGGTTGTTAGTACATTACAAAATATTCATAAAATGTGCACAATAATATACATGTGTTAAATATCATAATGCTAAGCATTATCTTACTTTGTTATATCATGTTATTAAGTTATATTTTAGCTATATACTACTAGAATTCAGTTCTAAAGTACATAACAACTCTTATAGAGTATAGACAACAAAAAGGCATGAGTTAATCAAATTATTTTACAATAGCGAGGGTTTACAATAAAACATAATATATATAAAGAGACGCAAAACAAACAAAGTAAACGTGAAATTGTATGGTTAAAAAAAAAAAAAAAACTTGACCAACAGCCTCATTGTTCAAATATGCTGGACTAGCGTATGTCACTCTCTATACGGATCATAAAGTTCTGTACGGTTAAACATTGTCACTGGAGATGCGGGGCTGTCTTCATCACTATCATGTAACATGTTGTTATTGTCTCTACAGTCAAAGTAGTTTAGAAATGTAAACAATGGTCGAAATACACAGTAGTCACACCAGTTATTTTCTTGTTTAACCACTGCATCAATTAGCCTGTTAGAGTTAACTTCAAAATGCTGTACAACATGTACAAATGCCAACCCCTTTTCGTGCCAATAACTTTGATAGTCAATATCATTATCGTCTTTTAGTGTAAAAAGGTTAAAAAAGCAGCCTCGACAATACTTCATAGGACGTTCTGTTTGTATTGTTTCATAGTAGTCCACATTTATATGACAATTATTACCATAGTAATTTCGACTCCAAAACTCTGGTTCCTCCAGAGGATGGTTCATGAGCATGACAAACTGATAACTATCAATTTGCATAAAGTCGATATCTCTAAACTCATAACTTTTTATTAAATCTCTGTTGACTGTTGTAGTTTTTATCCAAGTCCGTTTAATAGAGCTTCTCAACTCTGTGTGCATGAGGGAAGGGAGTATCGAAAACATTTCGATATCCTCGATTCTTTCGTATTCTTTTTCATATGGAATAGTACGGGCAACGGCATCCATACTCAATGAATACAACATTCTGACTACTCCTAAAGAGTGCTGATCAACCATCGAGCTAAGACTGACTACAATCATATTCTGACGATCCTCCATCGTCATTTTGACGAGCTCGATAATGCCCATACGCCAAAGTTCTAATTTTGTCCTGCAACACTATGCGTTTGTTATCATTGGCTGACAGGGAGAGTTTATCAACTGTTCTAGAGGTGAGTTGAAATGTCTTGCTTCTTATCTGGTTAAATGTCGCTCTGTACTGTTTATCTTCAAACAGTGCCTTCTTGTAGTGATCAAATAAAATTTTGTTTTCGACATAGCGTTTGCTTATTCCCTTACACTTTTTCTTTGCCGTTGTCTGTTGGCTGGAGTTAAACCTGTAGCAGTACATTTTACAACGCAATCCTACGTACTCAAATAGCTGTCTTCCTTTGCATTCATCCTTAAATGTGCCTATTTGAGGAATCGCTCCTTCCAGCCACAGCTCATGCTCCTTGGGATAGCATGACCTATCCAGTACATCTCCCAATCTTTCCTTCAATTCATTATTTAGGTTTAACTTGGTAATTATGGTATATAATAGAGAATCAGTATCAGAATAGTTAACATACACTTCAAAGTCTGGCGGAGCTAGTTTTTTCTTCATAACCATATAATGAAACCAGTTCATATGAACTTTTGCTTTGTCGAGAACTACTGAACCAACATAGACTGGCTTGTTTAATACTACCTTTTGTCTTCTTAAATGTACCGCGATCACACCATCAGCGATAATGCTTCTGTCAACAAATCTTGCTTGACGTGACAGCTTCTGGAACGCTTCATCAGAAGTTACTATTCTAATATCTACACGATTGCGCACGTTTTCTAACGTCTTTCCAAACACACTATTATTCATAAACTTGTAGAAATTTTTGGAAAACTCATTCGTAGATTCAGCTCTTAATGTGGTGTTTTTGTCGATGAACTTTTCCATCCACGGCGACTGGGAGAATCGCAACGCTCTGTGAACTTTTGTAATTTTCAAGCCTAATTTGACTGCCTGCTGGAACACTGTATAGTGAGCGATATAGTGTTTTTTATCTTCAAGCGTAGCAAGTAGTTTTCCCTGATTATCCACATCTTTTTGTTCTGGTAGAATGGGGAAGTCGTTCATTAGATCGTGCAAGTGCTCTGGCACTGTGACATCACATTCTAGTAAAAGTCCATACGGCGAATCTTCAGGTAAGTTTGACCAATTAAGATCATCAACATCATTTACAAACTCAAAATTTCCAGTTGGAAGGTGTTTTTTCATTTGGCTTCCATACAAGTTTATGCAGTCCAAATACAACATATATTTGGTTTCTTTGTTTGGATCATAGTCTTCGCTGTTCTCTAAAAGTGGGTTGTTGGCTTTTTCATAGCGGTGGCAGCATTGTACCAAACCGCCTCTAATCGCACTTTCAAACATTAAGAAATGGTCATAGTTCGTCAACAATTCCAAAGTTACACCAGTCATACGTAGCATACTCTGCCATGCTAGACCTGGCGCTGTAAATGAATGACAACAGTCAATGTTATAGGTGGCTACACAGTTTTTGCGAAAGCATTGAATTATGTCCATTAAAAGACAAACATCCAATAACAGATAAAAATCATGGTATTGTCCAAAATTTTTCATTTTCATTGTATTCCAAGTGTGTTGGGCATGTTGATATTCTGCATCCGTAACTTCCGAGTCATTGAGAGCATTGTAAAAGCTTTCACGTGGTGGCAGTGCTTCCTCACTGAATACAGCAAAGTCTTTTACATAATCATAGGGATAAATCCCTTTTCTTTTAATCAACTCCACATGCTGTTCTGGCACAAGTTTGGACGACTCTACGAGTTCCATCGGTGTGAGATACGAAGCGAGATTCGCAAGGCTGTCCGCCATTAGGCGAAATGAATCCAAAAACCTAAGCCACATCCTCCCAATCTTTATCGATATACTAATGAATCTTTCTGAATTACTAGGGATCACTTTTATTTCACTGTTGGGTAATACTGCCAAGTTCTTAATAATGAATGCTTCGTCGTATGAAGAAAGGTTGTGAAAGTATATTGGTATGAAGTTTGGAAGTTGACAGCGGGTGTTACACAACGAGCACAAGGTATAACGGAACTGACCTGTTATATGGTCGTGGTCCCGGCATTTCCTTGACTGAACCAATGTCTCATCAAATGCTATTTCACACAGCTCGCAGTTTGTCGCTTCATCATGCTGTTTCTGTTGTTCATCATTTAATGCAATCATGCTCACATTTTTAGTGTACAGCTTTTCCACTTTTACAGCTAGCTCCTGCATTTGTAAAAGGAATTCTTTTGCAGCCGATTCCGATCTGTGTATGTAGGGTGAGGTGTTTATCTCAGCTTCCTCTAACAGCTCTTTGGGAAGGTTACTTGCTACGATATAAGCAAACGAGTTCGCCTCGTGCCGTTGATAGGCATTGTCTGTCGAGGGAACTGGATATAGTGTTGATTCGAAGTCAGCTGTGACTACAATTGGTACTTCAATTTGCATCTCGTAGCTAACAAATCTAAGTTTGCTTTTATGCTGCTCCGGCAAAATCACTTCACTTGGTTTTGATTTTCCACAGAGCATTAAATGTTCACTCAACCAGTGCTGAGGTGTCGGAACACAGCGCCTGTTTTCTTTAAAGGTGCTACACCTTTTACAGATTGTAATTTTGTTGCTGCCTTTTGTAATTTGTGGCTGCATAAGCTTTGTGAAATTCAATATTAACGTAAAATGAGCCTCTCCTTCATCATTTCTAACGAGGAGGAGATCAAAATGGTCTTGCTGCTCATCAACTATCCTGAGTGGTGTAATATGGGCATTTTCGTCCAGTTCGAAGATGTTTACGCTAGTGTTGATGTTTTGTTTTTCAAATTTTTTCATTTGTGAAATGGGCGTTGGAAATGAAATACCATCAAAGTTGTAATGTGTTTCACACTCCCTAAAGCTATGCTCAGTAAGCACTGAGTCATAACGTATATTAGGTAGACTTTTGGCTAATATACAATACATGAAACAACAATTATTGCTGTTTTTTACATTTAAAATGCATTTCCTTTTAGCAATTTTTGGGGGCAGTGGCAGATAGCCACTTCCAGCAGGCAATGCATATGAAAATTTGCTTAGTCTAAGTGTGAGGCTCTTTACCTCATGCAAAGTCCATCCACTGCCTTTCGCCTGCGCTTCAGACTCCTCACGAAGCAGTTTGCTGGCGTCCTTCTTCAGCAGCTCTTGTAGCTCATCACAGGCGCTGTGTATAAGCCTCGACGTGGTCTTGAAGTTCATAAGTTCGCAATGTCCTTCAGGATGGCAGTAGACGGCCTCCAGTACGACGTTGTACTTGAGGGATTTGGTGACACGCAGCTCATCTTGTAGTATATCGAGCACCACTTCGTTAGCAGCTTCAATAAATGGCGGTAGGTCCTTGTAGAGGTTTTCATTATTTTCTATAACATAGTCTTTGGCTGATTGAAGACCTTTTTTTAAATACCACGTCAGCCTTGTTGTTGAACTTGTATGTGATGATGGACTTGACAATACACTAGTCACAGGACGCTTAGTCACCTTTGGAGGTGGTAGTTTTCTTTTCAAGCCACTGCCACTGGGTACTGCTTTAATTTGCTGTGGAGGTGTCTGAATTGCTGCCTCGTGTGTCTCTCGTCTGTTGTCATTGTTGCTCGCTACTGCTGATGTGAAGTAGTCGTTCAACGCCAAACACATTTGCTGGTGACGGCTCCTTGCGGATGCACTAAGGAAGTAGGCTTCTCGACAGATGGCACATTGTAGATACATCTAAAACATTAATTTCAAACATTAAGTACATTGCTCATGGTCTGCTATAGTTCTATTATATTTGGTTTGAGATTGTTTACGTTAAGTTTTAGAAAAAATACATTAATTTTTAGCACTTACCTATTTTATTATTTTAATTTAAGTTTTATTGCCTATGTTATCATGTTCAGCATGAGATTTTACAATTCAGATTCTTTAAGCTCATATTACACGCATTTTGTCTTTAGTTGTGTGGATTTCTTGCAACAATGAATGTTGCTTATATAGCTGCATGGTTTAGTGTAGTTTTTGCTAGGACAATATGAGGTATTAAGGGGCTCTTTACATTCGACTATATTAAGTTGTAAGCTCTCAAATAATAGTTTACTAAACGTAGTACCAAGAAGATATAAAACTGACAGGGCTTTCTACTTACATTGTTGTAGAAGTTTTCACAGCTAGACTGCTCATTAAAGGTTTAACATCTAAGTGGAACTTTGCAAGACGGCACGTGGGGAATGACTGCTCACTTCTAGCGCTGTAAATGTAAAAATAAAGTGTCAGTTGTCATATATAGTAGTTTCGTCAATACCAAAAATAAAGCATACTCCTTCCTAAGTAGATTTTTCATCGTTATATAACAACTGAAGCCAGTTAGTTCTATCCACTGCATAGATCGTCAAATCAAAATCAAAATATCTTTATTCACCATCCATACTTGATTAGTGTCAATATGTTATATTTAAAACGTTTGTGATATAAGCTTAAAATATAATCACACAAAATTTATATTAACAATATCGAAATACCGAACAAAACTTAAGTTACAAAGTTTAGTTTTAAGCATTCGTGTTTTTCTTTACAATTTTTTTTCTTGCCAATTTAATAATTTTAAACTTTGTTAATGCGAATAAAGTGATTTTTTCATAGCCAATAATGCATTCACTAGTTATCTAGCCTAACAATAATGCGGAAATCATAGAATTACACATGGTAGAGAGATGGTTGTGTCTGCACTAGCAAACAGAGACAGCACTCAAGAGTTAGACACAAAGAACGAGCTTTAAAGTTGCTTAATCTATGCATATACTAAGCTACAGCTCTAAAGACAAAATCTACACTCATTTCTAAGCATGATTTATTTATTTATTTTTCTTATTTTGCTAGCTTAACTTATGACAAAAAAAAATGCGTATATGCAAGTTTTTCTAAAATAATCCTACATGCTTGCTAAGTTCATAATACCTAATGATTTTTCTTTCTGATAGATATTAATTCGTTTTTTTTTAGTACGTTTTCTTTCAAAACATTGTAGTATAGAAGTGTTCTTAATTTTTTCTATAGGGTATATAGGTTAAAAATCATTTATTAAGTAATAAAGACTAAATAGTGAACATATATATTTTAATAGATATATAGTTAAAAGAAATATTTATTGACTTTTATTTATGTACCTACATCCCTAGTCACTAGGGTACTTTATATTTAATAGCTAGTTATTTGAACAAGGAAGAACCCTTAACCCTTGGCTAGCGTCATGATTTGTCCAGTAAGAACAATATTAAATGCAAACACACACTAGCGGATTATTTATTTCTTTTTACACAAACTAGTTCTTGGTGACATTTGAAATAGAATGTTTGTATTGATTTGAGAGAAGAATATTTCAAATTGTATATAGTATTGATTAAGTGTATATTCAACATATAATCATGCGATAGCCAGAGATTGTATAATTAATCTATATTAATCGTATTATTAGAAGTTTATTTAGTCATATTTATTTATTGAATATATAATTGGTTTTTAAAGATCAACGTATTTCTAATCAAACAGATTTTTAGACATCTTTTAATATTCTAGCTACATACTTCACTTCAGATTTCTAATTTAACGAGCATTACCACGTTTTACAACACTCAGATTTGACATTAAATAATTGTAAATAATTTTGTAAGTTTTGAGTCTAGCTATTTAACGTTGCTCTTATGGTAAGGAGAGCAAGGAGTTATAGGAAAAGCTTAAATCTTATGGTCTTTTTAAAATCCTAGCAACTATATTGCAAACTACGATATGTTTGTACTTACAACTATGGAGAAGATGTTCTGGCATCACACAAGCGTAGACGACTTCGACTGATGCACGTACTGCCCCGGACGCACAAACTGACCGAGGTGCACGAGTTACTCACAATGCAAGCTGGAGTCGAATACAACTTTGCAGTGCCAATGGGCTGCTTTTATACAGTTTGTGTGAGGTCAGTGATTGTGGGGAGCCAGGATTGCTTATAAGCGGCATAAGCGTACATGGCTGCACAGTTCTCTGCACGCAACCGAACAGGTATGTCTCGTGTGCTTATGCATTAACTGTGAGAATAATCTTACTTGTATGATCTTTTAGTTTGTATATGCTTATTTAGCTTACACTTTTCTACTATTACTATAGCTCCATAATTGTATTTTCTAAGAGTGCTAGTTGTATATTCTTATTTGTTGCTGTGCTGATATTTGTTTTGCGTTAATGCATAATGATGCATTACTCTCATACCCTCCACTTACTCAAGGTTTCCCCCCTTTGTCTGTCCCAATATGTGTTTTTCTCTACACTGCTGCGTTTGCTATACTGTCTTGGTACTGCCTACATGTTATACTGACTAATATTTCTACTACTTGTTATATGAAACGGTATTCCTGACACATGATACAAGATAACATTGATTACAATATATCCATATGTTGTAGTGTAACAGTTTTGCTACACATTTAGCTATTTAGAGCTATTTGTAATATGTATATAGTTGCGCTACGATGGACTGCTATGTGTATGGTATTACGCTCTACTAATCGATATATGCAGCGATATACTTGTTACAATCTGCAAACCTTACTTGTTATATTTGTATATTCTAAGTGCAACGGTTTTCTATACATTTAGCTGTTATTACTAAGCTGTTAAACGTTTTATATGTATCTAGTTGCCCTCCGCTGCGCTAATATTTCTATGATATTACACCTTGCGTTATATGCTGTGACATACTTGTTTCACGCAGCAATCTTCAATTGTACTATTTATGCTGTAGTGCTCCAGTTGTTTATGCATTGTCTATTAATGCTAAGCTAGTTAACTCGATAAATTTTCATTATATCAGTACTCGGCCTATAATATGGCATACTATTAGTACGACTTTTAAAACAGGATATTTTTTTATAGATCATAATCATGGCCCTAGCAGCAAAACTCAACACCCTGGAGAAAGGACCATACCTCCCTAAGATCGACGTTTCGGCGCTTACTAACAAAGAGGGCTACTCCATTGTGGCAGGGAGGGCAGTAAACACCAAATACGGAGCGTCCATCGTCCTAGACATCCATGTGCCAGAAAAGAGTGCCGACTTCTGTATATTCTTACCAAAGCGGTTCAGCGAGGCGTTGAGTTCAGATGAACTGAAGGAAATCGCTGAGAGCAAGGCATATCGGGTTCAATACTTGGGGATGAGCGGGAACTCTCCGAATATAAAAATTTGGAAACAATAAATGTTTGATATTTGCTCACTGAATACGTATTTAGTTTATTCAGTCCTTTTTTAGTCTTAAGTACTGTATGTAGATGTAGACATGTGTATTTTACGCAAGCGTTACTTAACTTAGTGTCAGCTCTCTAGGTCAGACAGGTTGCGCTGAGTTGCATTCATGACCTAGTGCGCCGAATTGAAAGTGAATTCACTTTCTACTGCAATCACTTGTACAGCCAGCCATGACATTCACCTCGCACTTATACTCGCAACAGCGGGCTGGTAATTACAGCTCTGCTGTAACCTCTACTTGTCTGCTAACCAATACTTACATACTTCTTATATATACAGTGCTTAGTGCCTACAGTCTACACAAACTAACATACAGTTTTAACCTGCACAAGTCGTCGTCGCTCGCTCGAGGACAAATCGTCCCCTGCCCACACTCGTATACTCATTCCCAACATCGCTGTCACTTTTATTCGCCGGAGAAAAAATCAGGCAACCCTATCTACTATGCTACATAATAAAATTTATTTCAAAGCGGTTTCAACGAAAACAAGAACTAAGAAAAATGCAAGCTTGTTGAGAACCTTGGTGCGTAACTAAGATTAATGGCAAAGATAAAATCCAACTCATTTTCCACAGTGAATTGATCGTAACATGCTCAGCTTTTGTTACCCCTATAACATAAGCCATGTTGACAGCTTCTGCTTTTTCTGATTACTTCAAACAAAAACCCCTTGTACGGTACAATCATTGCCTTCAGTTATGTCATGTTGTCAACTTAACTATTTTATTAAACGTTATTTAGTTTGTTATTATGTTATCCAGTGTAATTTTAGTTAATGGCATAGTGATAATCAGTATTATCGTACAGTACTGCTAATTAGTAAGAAATTGTCGCTGTTGGACAAAAATGTCAGAATAGGTAAAAACATAATAGCATTAAAAGTGCACCGCTTAGTGGCAATGATAAGAATGTATAAAAAACTGTAAATGTGTGCATATTTAATGATCCTTGTAAAATATTACAATCTTTTAGAAATTATAAACCTTTTGAGTCCCTTACATTTTTAATAATTAAATTTAAATTAATATTTAAACTATGAAATATGAAAAACATATTGTGATGATATACATAATTGTTGTGTAGGTTTAGTGGAGATTATGTTAATTACATGTTTAATTTCCTTGAACTGAATAAATCAAATTTGCTTCACCATTATAATAATCGGAAGCGGATTTAGCCTCGTGGGTGTTCTAATCAGTTTGATACAGTTTTATCTTATTAATATTAGTCACAATATAATACTGTACTATTCAAAAATCTAACTTTGTTATAATACGTAAACCACCAGAAAATAATGCAATAGAGAGTATTTTTTTACGAAATCCTTTAATAAACGAGGGATTCATGTTATTACAAGTGTTCAAAAACAGAATATGAAATCAAGATAGTCGCAAATTTAGGTTAACACGTAATAAAAAGATAATGGAAGTCACAAAAATCCCCACTGCAGCAATTCTGCGGACAAAAGTGATGCTGAAGTTAAATAGAGTACTTTTTATTATATATTTAAAATAATATACATATTCATATGATTAGATAAGATACACCACATTTAAAATACAGTACATCGAAACTCCATTAGTGTATTTACCCTATATAGTATAATAAAAACTTTAGCTCAGAAAATGCATATTCACTGGGAGGAGAATTCCCTATAAATGGGATTGTGGCAAAAAATAGTGGAACACAAATTGCCAGTCACTAAGGATGACCACACACTTTCCTAGCCCCTGAGGCCAGGTTTGTTTCATTGTTGGGTTGGCAAATAGAAAACACTTTTTTTAATGTGATATTATAAGATGTATAAATGTTGTGTTGTCTAAGTCATAATCATGTTGTAATATATCAAACTGTGAGATTATCTTCTTGCCTTATTGGATATTAATAATTAATGGCCAAATATATCAATCAAAACAAACATAATTTGTTTATTTGTATATGAGAAAAGGTTAAGATAATCGTACTAAGAAAACTGCCCTGTTGATTTAATTGGTCTTAATTAGAAAGACTCCAAATTTATTTTATGAATTTTTTTCAAGAAATAATTTGATTGGACGACATCATTTTTTGGGAGAAAAAATATTAATTGGATTCAGTCTCTAAAGATGGCGCATTGCCTTCTACACGCAAATATATTCTGGCCTGTTACCTTCCACCAACATAAAGTAGTCACGGTTGGGTTGTTCACCGTAGACGATCCACTTTATGTTACTGTCCTTAATTAACTAGAGCAGCCATTACAATAAACTCGGCAATTCATCGGAACATTGACCTGATTATATACAAGAATTTTTGGAAACAATCTAATGCCTAAAAAATACAAACTTGGTAAATTACCCAGTTGTATAAAATGCTACTCTTTTTAAACAAACTTAAATAAATGCTTTGTTGTAACAAAAGCTGTAAAAGAATTTGAGTAAATTGAAAAACAAACTCATCGTTGTTAGATAGATCAACAAGATAAGCCATTGAGAACTAATTATCCCGCTTACCCTTAACACTAAGCTTGATTTGGTTAAAAGCAGTTTTATGTATGAAACAATAAGCCTCTTATGAGCAGATTAGCCTGGTTTATTGTAGAAGCTTTCGCTTAAACAAATGTATTTGCTTTGTAGTGATCTATTCGCTGACAAGTCATATGTAACATGTACTTATTTAAATTATTGATATATATTTTAAAATATAACCAAGATAAATAAATTACTTAGGAATAAGGATTTAAATATGATATCAATATGAAATAATAATAATAATAATAATAATAATAATAGTAATAATCTGATTATTTAAGAAAACGGCACTTACCTTAGCGATAATTTGAACTTTTTAAACATTTCCTGACATCCCTTGGCATTTAATTTTCTCTAACAAAAGATTCGTTTGAATATGCAATGGAACTGTGACGTGTCTCATTTAGATAAGTAAAGTTTCCAGATCTAATGGCTTGTTAATGAAACTTGTATTGTTAAATGGTCATTAACACCTGAAAACTTTGGTTATTACGAACATAATTTACCTAAATATTTATGGATCTGACACGAGTATACAATAACACACATTTTGAGAAAACGAAACGAAACGAAATAATGAAATGTATTTATATAAACAAACCATGTATATAAAACATAACAAAAGCTTTATTTACATAAGAATGCATAACAAATTCATAAAATAAAAACGAATGTTTTTACTCAATTACCTAAATATAATTGTATTACATATAAACAAATAATAAAAGGTAAAAAATATTAGATTTTCAAAATTCAAAGTTAAATCCTGTCCTACGTTTGAATTTTCATTACATAATTATCAAGTAAAAACAGTTATATTATTAAAAAATTACTTAATTTTTAATGTTATATTTTATTCTTGATTTATATAGTTTATTATTGATACGTATTGCTTAATTATCTATTAAAACTGTTTAGTTAGTTTATGTATTTATAAATAAATATTCAATCATAGTACTTAATATTAAAATAAACAATAATAGACTCAATATACCGTACACGCATGACAAATTGTTGAAATTTCCAATAAAATGAAACAATAGCCGTTATCTCAGTTACGTAAATTAAATCCTTCTTTCAATACCAATATGGATTTAATCCTGCTTTTGAATTTGTAATTGACATTTTGAACTGAGTAGAGCTCTAATAGATGCCTTCTGCAATTCTTTAACTATGCTGTACTACAAAATATTTAGATTGTGATAGGTTAATGTTGTATTTACCTAAACAGCTTTATATAAAAACTTGTATATATAATTTAGAAAACTAAAAAAATGTGTTTAGTTTATTTATAGAGGATCGATCAAAGATCCAGTGATGGTACCAACATTTGTTTATAACAATTTTAAATTTAAATTGTAACTAATCAAAAACCAATACTTCTGTTGAATGATTAATCACAATCAGTAACAACAAGAGGTAAACAAGAGGTAAAACAATGTGTAATATAGAATTGTATACAGCTTAGCCTACTTTAACCTGATTGATGTAAGTAAATTATTATTTATAGTATGGTTTATTGTAGATTCGTAACTCCCCAAATACACTTAAACAAAAGGAACCGTTGAGAGGTAAATGGGTATTTGATTAGTAGTTTATCCTCTGGCAACTTTTTAACTCGAATAAAATGGAAAATTTAATCACGGGTCACTCCTACAATTGTTCCTAATCCTTCATTGCACGTCCCTTTGAAACTCGTAATTTTACACTATTATTTATGGTAGGCTTTTGGTAGGTGTTCTGTAGTAGAGACAAAAAAACTCGTCTTAAAATATTTATAGGGTGAATTTAATTCAACCCAAGTGGGACCCGTGGCCTAATGTAAGCCCCGAATTAAACTATCACGTCATTAACATATAGCTATAAACAATTTGTTATTTTATTTTAACCCATCATTTGAAGGTTAGAACTAACGTGCTTTAAACACTAAACCTGCTCCGCCCCGTGTCAATCAGGATAATTTCCGCAATTAAAAGGTATACAATTGGTTTGCATTATTGGTTGTGGCTGGTGTCTGAACAATTGTTAATTATTGGAGGTTTTGTTAATTTGTAATTACCAATAATTGTTCACAAACTGTAGAAAGCTATTTCAACATATTAGCAAAAGTATTTTTTTACCAAAGGATTGAGAGCCTTTGTATTGTATCGAGATTCAGGAGGAAATATTTTCTTCAGATCACCAACCACAAAGACCAAATCTTGCATCAATAGGTTGGGTTATGCAAAGATTTTCGGGGGTTTCCTTTCTGATCCTTGATGCATGATATTTAACCCACACAAAACGTGAAAATTGTTGAGCTTGCCTTTTTAAATTATTTTAAAAATCAAGTTTTTCTGGAGCGTAAATGGATATTTTGAAATCCATGAAAGCTAATCAGTTGAAGCTCATATTAGCAATAATGTTATATTCAAGTACCTATATTCTATTAGACTATTTATAAAGGTAAGTTTT